AAACCCTATACCCTAAACCCTAGAAGGCCTACGGCGCGGAGCCCGCAGCCGCCGTGCCTGTGGGCGCCTGGCGAAGTGGCGAAGCTCGGACGGTGCCGAGCCCGAAGAGTTGGAGGAGGTGCAGCGTTTTCGAGTTTCCCTAAACCCTAAACCGGAAAAGAGGCGGGTGTCAAAAGGGTGTCTGTAGTGTTGCTATTGCGGTTTCAGTTTGTTGGGTTTTTGGGGCTTCTGGGGGCTTGATAAGGGTGCTGATGAGGGCTTATGTGACGGTGGAACAAGGCTGTTCGCACTAGATTTTAAACCGGAGTGTTATATAATCACAGTCTGGCACGCCCTGGCGGTGTGTATTTTCGCATAACTAGTTGTCCATGTATATAGTCTAGAGCTCAAAAGCGTAATTATCATGTTGTATACGGAAACCTTATTCCATCCCAAGCATTCCGTTCCCGAGACTACAGGCGGATTTTGGAGGGTTGACAGACGTAGGATTTCGTGGTTTAGGGCTAAGTGTCCAGGAGTTTTGTTTGCTTGCGGTGCCAGGGGGGTCAAGTTTTGGAGCTCAGGGCATCGGGTTCCGGATAGAGGCTGAGGTTAGGGTTTGGGGTTTAGGGTTTATAAGATTTAGGTTTAGGCTTTAGGCTTTAGGCTTTAGGGTTTGGGGTTTAGGGTTTAGGGTTTAGGTGCGGCGACCTGCCCCCCGAATTCAACAGCTTACAAACAAGGTCCCCAAAATGGTGGAAGTACCAAGTTGACCTTGGCTTTCATGAAACCAAACCCTAAACCCCAAACCCCGCACCCTAAGCCCTATAAGCCCTAAACCCCAAACCCTAAAGCCTAAAGCCTAAACCCTAAACCTTATAAACCCTAAACCCCAAAGCCTAAAGCCTAAGCCCTAAACCTTATAAACCCTAAACCCCAAACCCTAGAGCCTAAACCCTAAACCTTATAAACCCTAAACCCCAAACCCTAGAGCCTAAACCCTATAAACCCTAAACCCCAAACCCTAAAGCCGAAACCCTGCCGCCGCTGCTGGTGCTGCTGCTGGTGCTCCTGCTGGTGGGGCTGCTGGTGCTGGGGGTGGCTGCTGCTCATCCTGCTGGTGCTGGTGCTGCTTCTGGTGCTAGTGCTGCTGCTGCTAGCGACGGTGCTAGGCGTTGTTTTGCTCTCTTCCTCATCCCTACCTCAAAGGCAGCTCCAGCTATCACCTTCTTATCCTCAGCAACGAAAATCATGCTGGTGGCACTGACACTTTAAGGTACTTCCAGGCATTAGCAAGCACGACGCAGATTTTTTTGCTGCAAGTGCCCAAATCCGAGTTTCTGGGCTTGGGTGCCTGTCCTCCACGAAGTGTCTTCTTCTTGTAGGCTTTGTTCAGGCTTTGGGGTTCTAGGCCCCAGAATTTCATCTTTTCTGGATGCCAGGCAAGCCCAACGCAGCTCGAGCTGCAGCACTTAAGAGCCATCCATGAGACCTTGCAGAAGGAGCACGAAGGACTCAAGAAGCAGCATCAGGACCGCTCGAGCGGGGGAAGATGGGAGCCGAACCCTGTGTGTGTGTGTGGGTGGGTGGGTGGGTGGGTGGCCGGGTGGGTGGGTGGCGGTGGGTGGGTGGGTGTATGCATAACATGTATATGTGTATGTGTATGTATGTGTGTATGGATGTACGTTTGCATGCATCCATGTAATGTATGTGGATATATATATATATATGTATGTATGTATGTATGTATGTATGTATGTATGTATGCATGTGTATATACAGATATGGATAGGGTAATGTTGCCCTTTGTGACTGTAGCCGCCCTAAACCCTGAACCCGCAATGTTTCACTCTGTTTCGGTCTTCGTGTTTCCTGATGACCCTAAACCCTAAACCCTAAACCCCTAAACCCTAAACCCTAAACCCTGATGCAGGAGCTGTCGGCGCTGTTCAGTCATGAGGAGATCCCGGAAGGGAGGCTGCCTCCTGTTCCAGAAGGTCCCGGTGTGCAAGGGCCGGTGGAAGGAGAGCCTCCAGAAATCCCAGAAGGAGCGGAGGAAGAGGATCCGTCCGCAGCGCCAGGAGAACCGGCGCCTGAAGTACCGGCAGCGCCCATGGCACCAGAAAGCCCTCCAGAACCCCCAGCCCCGAAGAAGTTGCTACAGCCGACACCCAGCTCTGCTGCAAAGTGGGGCTGGTGGCGCAACAGCCGCGTGGTACCAGAGCCCGATGCGGGCGCTTTCACCCGACATGTGGTGCGCTTCAAGGACGGGGTGCAGCTGGGGCCGCCGCGCGTGGAGAGGGTTTGGATAGGAAGGGCGGAAGGTGCGCAAGGCTCGGGCTATGCCAGCTCCCTCCCAAGCCCGCCGGCTGCGCCCCCCGCCCCCAGCACACTGCCAGCCCTTCCCGAAGCCATCGGCACCCCCGAAGCCTGGCAGATTCAGGAAGCGTGGGATCGTCTGAGCAAGCCGGCTCTGGTGCCCGTGAGCATCCCGGGCTGTGCACACCTCAGCTCGGAGCCCGGAACTCTCTTTGGGTGAGGCTTAGTCATTAGTCGAGCTGCTTACGCAACCTGTAAGCTTAAGAATTTTGGGGTGTACGTATCTCCATAGTCTCTAGACGTAGCTATGTATATTTATGTACATATAGAATTATTATTATATATATATATATACACAAAATATTCTTCGTGTATTGTCAGAACTATCCTACTCTGGGGTCAGGGTAACCATGTGCGCAGCTGTTGAGCTATTGCATGGGAACCCAGTCAGTGTTGACTCCAACAGAGTAAGCGAGAGCCCATCTGCAGTTGACCTGCTTAAGAAACAGGGAAGGGTCTGGTAACGATGATTTCTGCCTCCCGTTCTCCATCCAAACCAGCAAAAGTCGAAGCCAGCGTCAAGTTCCGAAGCCAGTCCAAATTTGTAGGCATGGGCTCTACACTCTACACATTTCCACATCGCCACGAGTGCTCAATTCCTCGCAACACCTGAACTCACGGATTCCGAATAAGAGACCCCCCAAGTCCTACAACACATCTGAATGTGGTTTAGGGTTTATGGTTTAGGGGGTCCTTCTGAAACACGACAAAGACACGAAAAGCCCTGTACTGCCTTTCCACAAGGACCATTCATCAATCAAAGGCTTCAGGGTTTTCTGAGAAAGCTTGGGAAGCAGCAGCCTGAACCTTGGGTTTAGGGTTTAGGGTTTAGGTTTAGGGTTTTCGGGTTTTAGGGTTTAGGGTTTAGGGTTTAGGACCTTGACGCCTTATCCCTGGTCCTTGTGACTGCTTTCTGAGATGCGCCGGGGTAGATTGGGAAGAAAAGGGCCTCAAAAACAGAGCTTAACCCTGGACCCCAGACCCTATTATAAACTCTAAACCCCTAAACCCTGAACCCTAAACCCTAAACCCTAAGCCCTTGAAAAAAGGCTATGGATCAGCAGCGGAGGCTTGTCAAGACTTGCGACTGGCAGGCGGAGCAGGCCGGGGCAGAAAAGATTAGAGTAGTAGGGTTTAGGGTTTAGGGTTTCGGGTTTTAGTAGTATTCTCGTATTGCTAAAGTATTCTTGTAGTATTACTAAAGAACCCCCAACTTAATATAGGGGCTTTAGGAATTAGAGTCGGGTGTTGAGGCATGTTCTAGTAGAGTTGCAGAGTCAACCCTAAGGACTAAGAGTAAGATTGGCAATTTGTCAAGCTTCTGACTTAGGGTTTAGGGTCTACATTAGGGTCTTATCAGAGTCGATGGCTTGTAATCAGAATCCCACTGTGTAAGGTTCTACTGTATTAGGATCTCCACCAGCGCGCAAAAGAAAACATGCTATCATGCAAACAAGTGCGTAAGCAGGCGATTCGTGTGTGCATACGTGCGTCTATGTTTTTTTGTGCGCGTGCGCGTATGCTGTGCGTATTGCCCCGCGGGTGCTTCCAGTTCGATGCTACATTCCTGTTACAGGTATACTTGTGTTTACACGAAGATCTGCACTCGTGCATGTGTATGCATCTATGCATATGCATATATATATATATACACACATATCTACATACCTGCCTGCCTGCCTGCCTGCCTGCCTGCCTACCTACCTACCTACCTACCTACCTACCTACCTAGCTACCTACCTACCTACATACAAAAATTGAATAAAATTGAATCCCCAAAACGGCATCCTTCAAATAGAACATAAAGGTTCTACGTACATATATATATATATACATACCACAACATAAGCTTGCTGGTGAATGTACCAGACGAAAAGTTAAAACTGCTTCTAAACAAAATCAGCAATCCAATGAAGGAAAAAAATAAAGAAGCGACCACACGAATAGACCTGACCTACAGAAGCAAAAATCGAGAACATACTTGCGCAAACAAACATTTAAGTGCATAGACACAGGAACAGCTGCATTGTCTGCATCCATTGTGAAGGTAGTGTGTCCTCGAACCCTAAACCCTAAACCCTAAACCCTAAACCCTAAACCCTAAACCCTAAACCCTAAACCGTGGGAATTGCCTGGAGCCTACAGTCTCCTCAGGTGCACCCATCGTGGTGGTGGCAGTTTCTTCTCAGGGCCTAGCGCGACAAGCCGGAGTACTCCCCGGTTTTACGCTCCTCGCCTTGAACGGCCACGACCTGAAAGGCGGGCAGTTGAAACCCTAAACCCTAAACCCCCTAAGCCCCCTAAAACCCTCAACCCTAAACCCTAAACCCTAAACCCTAAACCCCTAAACCCCTAAACCCCTAAACCCGCCACGACCTGAAAAGGCGGGCAGTTGACACTTTCGGGCGAGGAGCTGCTACTGGGCTTCGGAGTACCATACTTTCATACCTTTTTTTGGGACCTGTTCCTTAAAGGAACCATTATGAAATAAAAGTATATACTTTTTTCTCCCAGGTTACTTCAAAGCCCAGGCTACCATCTTTGGCTCGCTCAGCCTTGGGCCAGACGCGTCTGGACTTCATGGACCCCACCATGCCGCAATCGCATCTGGGTGTTTAGGGGTTTAGGGTTTA